CTGTCAATATCTCTCCGTGAGGTGATTTAATAGCTTGCTGTGAGATGTGATCTGTGATTGGTTGTCTCCTTCGATTGTTGTGTTACTGATTGTATAGACTTTCCTGTTGGCTGTTGCTCTACTTGACCTCTGACCTTTGTGTCGTTTATCATTTTTCTTATTGGTTGATAGATCAGGTCTATGTCTATACATCTGTTGATTGCTGACTGACTGATGTGAATGCCAAGCTTCTAGGAATTCTCTGATGGTATTGTTTATGTTTCCTCTCTCCATCCAACATTTCTACATTGTCAAAATTCAATTCATCTGCATAGTTGTTATCCACATGCATCGGGTGATGAGTGATGAAATGTCGTGGGTGACTTTCAATCGCCAATTGGTGCTTATGTAGACGAAGGTGACGGTGGGTGACCACTTTATCCAATGTGTATTGTTGACTACAGTGATTGCAGCTGATTTTGTAAATGATATTCGGTTTGTCTTCTTTGCTTTTTGCATCCTTTGGTCTGCATAGTTAAGGGTTGGAGGGAATTTGTTGGTTTTATGAGTGGCGACACCAATTCCACTCAGTGGTCTCAGTAATCTCGTTGTGATTTGTGATATATTGTTTATGTATGGTAGGATGATGGGTTTATTGATTTCTGTCGATGACTTTGTAGTTGGTGATGTACGGGATAGGCATCTTCTGATAAAGTTTTGTGGATAGCCGTTCTTCTTTAGGATGGACATCAAGTAATTTTCTTCGTTTCGGTGTGAAGTTGTTGTACTGTAGTACAGTGTGTTCTCGCTCTACTGAAAAGAGTCTGTACGCAACTGATTTTGTGTGTGTGTGTGTTGTGTTGTTGTTATTGTAGTTGAGGATTTGATCACTGTGTGTTGGCTTCCTGTACACTTGGGTTTCCAGCTTTCCGGCACTTGTTCTACTGACTAAAACATTCAGGAATAGTAGTTGATTGTTTGACTGCTTCTCCATTGTGAATTTGACGTCACTGTATCATCTATATCATCTTTTTTAATGATGACAAAAGTATCGTCCACATAGCGAATCCAAATTTTCGTTTTGATCACAGGTAGGATGATGGCTTCCAGTCTCTGCATCACCGCACCTACAGTTAATCCGGATATTGGTGATCCCATCGGGGTTCCTTTCATCTGTTTATATATCTTGCCGTTGAATTGGAAGTATGTTGTCATACAAAGGTCGATGAGTTTTATCAAATTTGAACATTTATGTTTTGTTCGTTGTGAAAGGTGTTTGAATTGCAAGGGAAGGCTCGTCGAATCTAGAATACATGTTGAATTGATCAAAGTTGACATTTCGAAGAATCATTATATGGAAGTTCTTAAGAAGAAACAGAATCATAACTAGTGTGAAGTCTTTCAAAAGGTATGTATTGAACCACTTTGGAATGAGACATATCACAAGGGAATTATCCACTTGTTGATATACGAGACGATTTGTGACAGCAATTTGCTGAATATGTGAATCAAGTTGGACAGTCCTAGTCCGTTAACAAAGAAATATAACTATTGAATAGTTTAAGCAGTCGAATTCTCTAATACAGTTTTCTGGCGAACCTAGAGAAGTAGGCTCGTAATTATTCCATTAGTATACTGAATAAATTACAAATCAGTCTCCTATCACTTGGAACTAAAGTTTATGACATTGATAAGGAAATTGACTACTACTATAAGTGTAAATACAATAGAAATGCATCAAGAGGTATATTGACTAGAGCACATTGTAAGACTCTCAAAATGTCTCAGAAATGACAATAACATCATCATCACAAGATCTGATAAAGGAACTCGAATGGTAATTACAATCACTGGAAGACTTGACCAAAAAGGCCGAAAAGGATACAGTCATCTCACTGAAGGAAGTGAAAGATGATGGATAAATTTCTCATCAACCTTATTTACAAAATTTCAAGCCTATATAGGCAGCATGATTCCATGGATATCTAGCCTACACAAACCTGAGGTGGCTCTACTCTCTATCCTAGACATGACCAACTCACCTTAACACGCTATGGTTAAATGGCTAGTACGATTACTTCAATCTTTGTGTAACTAGATATGCAAAGATGATGGTAAAGTTCTCTTAATTAGGTAAACGGAAGTGTTAACCAGTATGAAATACGATCCCCTCTGACTGGTCTAAATCACTGATTATTTCAGTCTTCAAGAAAGGCGAGAAGTCCTCTTGTGATAACCACAGAGGAATCAGCCTAACGAACATAGTGTCCAAGATCCTAGGTTCTATAATTCTTCGACACCTTATTGGAGCTCGCGAACAGGAATCTCGAGAAAACCAGGTAGGCTCCAGACCTGGTTGTGGATGTATCGGCCAAATATTCACACTCTGTCAGGTTCTGGAACACAGGCACGCTTAGCGACGCCCGATAATGGCTGTATTTCTCGACCTGAAGGGGCATTCGACTCCGTTGGTCGAGAAGTCTTATAGCGTGCCGAGTAAGTACATCAACTTTTTGAAGGCTCCCTACTCGAACACTTGTGGACGTGTTAGAGCCTATGGTGAGATGTCCAGGGAGTTATGCTCATCGAGTTGTGTCCGTCAAGGGTGCTCACTGTCTCCATTCTTATTCAATTTTATTATAGACGTTCTTATGGAGGTCTTCCTCTCGTGACCTGATCGCAGGAGAATTTTTGTTAGGCCTAGAATATGCAGATGAAACAGTTTTGTCAGGTGAAGACGCTGACACGATACAGGGTCGTCTGAACACTTTGAGTAGGAATTTGAGAATGTTTGGGATGCGTTTTTCACCACCCAAATGGAAATTGTTGCTCCAGGATTGATCTTCAACGGTGCCACGGCTAATAATAGAGAGTGAAGTGGTTAAGTGTGTTGACCACTTCACTTACCTGGGATGTGGGATCACCATGCTCTGGTGTGGCTCAGTGGGCGATGAAATCTTTGCACTGATACAAAAGGGTCGGTTAGCTTTCGCAAATTTACGCCTCCTATGGTGCCGCGTGATATCCAATTGTGTATTAAGGGTCGCGTGAACTGCAAAACAGTCCGGTCTGTTCTACTATATGGCTGTGAAATATGGGGATTGAAGTTGGAAGACATGAGAAGGCTTTTCAAGTGTTTGACCACCGTTGCCTTCGTAGTATATGCAGTATTCCGTGGTGTCACCACGTGAGTAATGCAGAAGTGAAGTACAGAGTTTTAGAGAGAAAGAGGTAAATCAGTTGACACGGTTGTGAACATTCATCGACATGTGTTGAGTATACCTAGTCACCAATCGCCTCGTCACACAATGTTGACCGAAGTAGGTCTAGGCTGGAACAAGGCCCATGGTGGCCAGACTAAAGCATGGGATGAATGTATGAAGTGTTTGACTTTTGGTTTGAGCGATGTTGGGAGGGGGGGAAGGGGGTTAAAAACTGGGTGGTTGGGGACTGACTGTAGTTGAAATGGCTGAGAACCGATGTCATTGACGGAGATGGTTACACATACTATCCTCATCTTAGCGACGCTGTATCGAATCTCACCACTTTCTCATTCTTCGTTTCTCTCTTTTCGTACTTGATATTTCTTTTGACTGAATTTTCTTTTCTTCTTCCACTTCACCGCCTTTTTACTTGATGTAGTAATATGAGGTGTAGCAACTGGGACCATTACGCAGTAATACCTGGTCCTATGTTGATATTGATGATGGTTATCATGGGATACTAATCTTCGCATTCGACTTGACTTAACCGATAATTCTTCTTAAGATTTCAGGGAAGACGATCAGTAGACTAGTGGGTACTATTGTCTTCGTTATTCGTTATCTTTTCGTTCAGCATCCCATTATTCATTTGTGCATGTCATCGGAATATTGAAAGATTTAGACGAGAGAAAAATTGATTTTTTCACATCGTCAACTCATATTCTTTTCTGTCCGTAACTTGTCTTGGTTTTACGCCGTACAACTGCATTTTTTTTAATTGTAAAACTTGGTGAGTATGTTTATTGAAAAGAATATTCTTCATTCAAATTGTTACTTTTTTAAACATATAAAGGCTGTTTTATTACCGAATAACTCTAGTTATGAGTTTATCGAGATGATTATTTTATTTAAGATCGATAATCAACATAGACTGATACCATTTGGAGGAGCTCTGGAAGCACTGAACAGCTCTTTTGTCCGAATAGTACAAGACTCCTCAGCAGTGCTCACTTATGACCCCACCGCCCCGTGGATCGAACCCAGGGCTTTCACTTCACACTGTCACTAGGTCGGAATCCAATGAGAAGTCGGGACCGGTGGGGCAAACCTGGCGACCATGAGGACAAATGCTCAACGATGACACTGAGTGATGATCATGCTGTTATGAACTGACAGAAGTTGGAAGTATGCCCCACTCGATTCCGAGTCAGGGACTCAATGGTAACGTGCTCACCACGGAACCTGAAGGTTCTCTGTTTGATTCCTGCGAGTGGGGTTATAGGTGCTTACTGCTGAGGAGTTTCATACTGGTCGGATGAAACAGCTGTTAAGTGCTTCCAGGTTTTCGATAGTTCTCTAACTGATATCAGAATGTAATGAATAATGCCTTCGAATAAGGATGAGGAGTAGTCTGAATATGATTGTGGTTTCACTCAGTGTTAATAATGCAGCCGGTGGGGAAGATTTCAAAACTATCACATTCTTACTGCATAAAGAAGAGATATCTGAGTTCCTACGTGGAATTGCAACCACACAGATAGGATAAAGTGTTTGTATTCTCATTTAAATCTTGTCTTTTGTTCTGCTTTTCTTTACCATTTATTCTTCTTTCATGACTATTTGTCCTCTCTTTGTTGAATTCCTTGTTGATAGAATGTTGTATACTGTCCCAGCTTGTGCACTGCTTTTAATCACCTTGTATATCAGGTATTATTTGGTGTTTATATGTATTTTTGGGAAAGAGTATACAATGAGGTTAGGTTGGCGGTTAGATTTAAATTGGTGTACAACATTGTCAGTTTTTTTATTCTCCCCCAGGAATTAGGTCTTATTCGTCGACCAGTTGCATTCACTTCAACAATATGTGATGATCGTGGTGAAGAATTATTATATGCTGGAATGCCTATTAGTCAGGTGATTGAAGAAGATTTAGGCATAGGCGGTGTTCTTGGCTTACTATGGTTCAAAAGAAGGTAATCTAATTTGTTTATTTTCGTTGATTCACTTTTACCCTTAATGACTATGTCTCATAGAACGGACTCCAGCACGGTAAACTCCTTTGATAGATAGACGGATAATTTGCCAGAGATGATGCATGCTGGCAATCTCAAGCTGAGATTTCGTCACCAATCAGCATCAAAAATGTGCATTGCTTAAAAATACGTGGGCGGCCTTACCAATAATATTAACCAATAGGAATAGAATGATTAAGATATAAAGTTGAATCGTGATTGGTTGATTCCAACTACACGACCTTCAGTATACTAAATATTAATTAGACAACAAGTTCTGACCTTTAGCCAATTGTTTTGAGCTGATGAAATTTGCCATCGATTTCTGTAGGTGGTCTGTCATTTGTTTGCGAAACATTAGCGTTAACGGGAATACTTGTTGTAGCCTCCAAGAGAAAGTGACCTTTCTCAAGATTACAGATGCGTCTAGTATCATTCAGTATAAAAATGGTCTAAGCATACCACTGTACCATAATTTGTTACTTGTAAGACTGTTGTGTTGATGTCAACTATTCTTCACTTGCTCTTATGCGCATATCATCATTTACAACGAAAAAAAAGTGAAGTTGAGCTAGTGATTTTTGGAAGGTTGAGTAGTAGTGTCTCACACACACACAGTGATACAGTATGATTTAATTGGTGATGACGTTTTAGGCATAAATTATCATTGCTCATAATCATTATCAATGTAATCACACTACTTTCAACATCGGCTTTTTATGGTCATGTTGGTTGATGAGATCGTATTAGGCGTACAATTGTGCCTCACCTCCACAGTCTTCAAGTTTTAGGAGAAAATATATAGGTAAACAGAAGGAGTAGCAATGGAATCACCAATATCCTCAATCGTAGCAGAAATACTTATACATAGTAAGGAAGATATAGCTTTACGAACGTATAATACTGCAACTACGATATGGTGACGATATGTGGATGACATATTTACTACTGTATTGAAGTTGGAACATATCGACAGTTTCGTCACACACACACAGTATAACCTCAGTAGTCATTATGATTTGTTCCTTGGGCTCCTAGTGGAACATAGGGCTTCAGTAGCACGTCAACATTTCACTCTGTTCTCTGCAGTTTGGTTTCTGAATAAACTCATAAGTTCAATATTTCAATTTAGCAGGATACATTGTGGGGAGGTCTTCCGCTCTGAATATTAACTCCTAGCAGCTATAAATATTCGTCGAGATTACTGATGATTTTCAAAGAATTTCTTTAAAGATTTCATCTTATTAAACCCATTTTATATGTATAATTTTATAATCACCAACCGGTGTAGTCCAGAATGTGTACTTGTTTGTATACTCTACAATCATAAGTTGGATGTTCATACTTGCCAATGAGTGATATTATCCGCATATCGTGAAAGCCACTACTTTTTACAACGGGTATACTTCTAGTGTTTATCATTTTGTAGTTGATAGATCGTTTAGTTACTCTAAATGCCTCGATATTGTCAATGTTAGCCTCTTATGCTGTTCCTCCCCCCCCCGCCCCTCTTAAAGTATACCTTCTTTGTGTTTTATTTTCCTTTTTCCTATTAGACTGCCTGACTATGCTCGAAAGTTTTTAGAACTTTGTCTTATCATTACAGCTGATCATGGTCCAGCAGTTTCTGGTGCACATAATACAATTGTAACAACTCGTGCTGGTAAAGACTTAATTTCTAGCCTAGTCTCTGGATTATTAACAATTGTAAGTTTACGGAGGTGAACTGAGAGTTAGTATTTTTGTTCTGTGTTACTTGTTTGTTTTGTAATCACTATGTGTTATATAAGATTCTCTCGACAGTGTTGTGAGAATAAGCGATAATACTTTACGATTGATTTGTCGAAGATTAAGACGATTCAACTCCAATGATTCGCTGAGAGAAATCCAAAGTCTGATAATCAACTGAATTTATAGTATCTTGGATTGATAATGGACTTTATTTATAGAGTTTACAGTAACCTTGAAAGACAAGAGATAATTGGTACATTTAAAGAGGTAGAAACTAATCAAGACGTTAGCGCATTATATGAAATATGACCTATTCGCGGCAAAAACAGCTCGAAGATAAACAGTTAAGCTATATACAAATTGTAAGTATGGAAAATGAGGGATATAAGCATCGCTAACATTCTCTGCGTTTCGTTTTTCAGTTTCCAGTAAGGAAAATGTTTTAATATCTGTTTATTTGAATTCTAGGGTTTGATATTCATGATGAACTGATATGAAATGGAGGAAAATTAGAAACTTAGGAGCACTGGACAGCTAGCTGTTTCGTCCCAGTATAAACCTCCTCAGTAGTACGTATCCAGGGATAGAACCCAGGACCTTCAGGTTCCATGGTCAGCACGTCACTATTGAGCCACTAGGTCGGAATCCAAGGGTTCATATTTCCGACTGCTGTTAGTTCACGACATAGCGTGACTGCCACCCAATGTCATCGTTGAGTATTTGTCCTCATGGCCACCAGGTTTGCCCCACTGATCACAACTTCTAATTCGAACTTCGAGAATCACCTCTCGAAGCTATTCACCAATGGACACTATATCACTTGAATTTGGAGGTTCATGGGGATTTATTTATTGATTTGAAGTTGGTATTCATCATGGACTGATATTCTATGGCAGAGCTATGAGTAGGCACTGCTGGAGAGTGCCATACTGGGACAAAGCACCTACTATCCAGTACTCCCACGTTTCCAATGTTTCTCCAACTGATGTCAGTCTATGATGAGATAAAAGTGTGCTTCAACTATCGTGTGTGGAATCGTGGTTTCTTATTCATGGGAGCCTTTGTATTTGTGTGTCTTCCTTTCCTACCAACTAGCCTACTACCGGTAAACTATACAAATCTCTTTGTTTTCTACTCTAGCATGGATCTGGAAGGTTTATATTCATCTTTTGAAAATCCTTTTTTGTTGATCTTAAGTGAGTGGATTTACGTAATGAGAGAGTAATGTTAAAAAAAGGTGAGTTATTACGTAATCGATTTTCTGAGAAGTTGTCTACAGGAATGTTAATATTCTACACTGATTCGCGAAGTTCTTCAACGCAGTCCTATTCATTCAAATCATCATTCTTCTAAGCAGCAACACATTCAGAATTATGTCGGCGATACGAAATCTATATATCATACAAAACTAAATGTATAGACACTCAGAAGATGTAAGCGTAAAGGTTATAGAATCTTGAAGCAACAGAGTCAAAGTCATATTCTTTAGAAAATTCTCAGAAATATGTATATAGCTATTCTGAAAAACCTTCATAGAAATTCTAATTTATGTGATATTTCAACATGTCTAAATGAGTTGTTATGATGGTCATGATTCCCCGTTACTGTACATAGGCGAATTTCTTGACCTCTCTGTTGGTAGACGGGCTTAGTGGATAAAACTGCGGCGTTTGCAGCGATAGGTACAAGACTCGAACCTCACTGGAGTGCAGGTCCATCCGACTGGTCTATTTCTGGTATACGTGGGTGTTACATCATTCACACCTCACATATGTGTGCTGGGTAATCAACCTCCATGTATCCACCTAATTGTATTGTTGGACTTGAATACAATGGTTTTATCCCACCCTATTGTATGCGTTTGTGTGTGTTAATGCATGCCTCTCATTAGCTGGGTGTTTTTCTAGATTATTGTCATTCTATATTTACCTCATTTCCGATATTCTACTAATGTAACCGATCCCGATCGACTACTTTCACCTATGCACTTGAACTCACATTCATTACTGAGTCGGGTCTATCGGATCCATCCTACACAACAACCAACTTTTTCTCCTCTTCTCTTCACTCCCCCCCTCCTCCCACCCCCACTTCCCCCTATTATAATAACCAGGTGTTGATAAGGTTCCATCCAGCTTGTAGACAGATAGTGGGTTGTTGCAGAGGTGCGTGTGAGTTCACTGATAAGAATCACGAAGGGGAAATAGGAAGAGAAAACCGTCAGCAAGAACATAGAATGTATAATCCTTCGACCGACAACAGAGGTTGAGTAATTCGACCCTGTATACCAACAGGATATCACAAGTATCATAACTACACTTTAACAATGAATGATAAGTAACAAACAGTACCAGGTCGTTGTTACCACCTCCCTCCCTTTATATGTATGCATAAACAGATATATACATAACAGAGTCAACTAATTCAACATGTAATCAATAGTCAAATGTACAAAATTACCAATAAAAGAAATTACAACACACACAAACACACAAACACACAAATACATACCAATAAATCCAATTGATCGACCTAAAACAAACAAACCATTCGCTAACGGAGCTAGACAACTCACTAGTCAATGCACGGACTTATACAATGAAGTGAAACATATGAAAGAAGCACTAATAATTGATAATTATCTTGTACAGTTTTATTATGAAATTGGTGAGAACATACGAAAGAAAGTAATAATAGTAGTACGAATAATAGGGAGAACACAAGTTGGAAGGAGCTACAACCTCTACTGTGTTACCGTATAAGGAAGGAAGGAAAGTACATCAGAAACTTTATGTAGGATTCTCAATAGAGCTGGAATTACGGTGGCATTTAAACCTACAAACTCACTCAGAGATAAGTTTTGTCGGTTGACTCAAGGATCCGATAGAACCAATTAAGCAAAATAATCTAATCTATCAAATTCTTTGACCTCACTGTGGGTAGGGTCAAGTACATAGGTGAAACTGGCAGATTGGGGTAAGTTAGATTAGTGGGATACAGGAATTTAGCTAAATATAGAATGACAGACCCAAATGACATTAGTAATCTAGAAGATAACTTAGGTATTGTAATGTAGGCACACACACTAACACACAATCATACACAATAGGCTGGTGAGAGTGGGATTTACTTACTGAGTCTTTCTGCATTGGAACATTATCCAGCTGATGGCATAGGAATGACGCAACACCCGTACTAAAGATATAGTAAATGTAGTAAAAGTCACCCTGTTCCGGTCGTATTTGGATCCAGAGATTTTTTTAGTCTCTCCAGGATGATGCGGCTTAATACATTTTGATTGGGGGTGCAGCATGATTCTTCGCCAGTCCTTGCAAACACTTAGGTCTCCCTTGTTTGTGACCCTTCTTCCAATCAATCGGCAGGTACCTTTCCTTCCTTCCTTGCAAACCTTCTGCACTAGTGGAGTGGTGTGGTGATCATGTCCACTGATGCCTCTACGTCTGTTTTCAGTGCTTCTGGTGGAATTCCATCATGTTCTGAGTGGCGTAACTTGCTAACTTCATACCCTAAAATTAAGTTTCATTGAAATAGTCACTCGTATATTTAACCAGCTTATTACGATTTCCTTTCCCACTGTACACATATGGAAACTTACTCAACCAGGGTTAGGGTTGACACAACTTTCAACTATCATGTTTGGTTGGTTCACTGCAAGAATTCCCACATAGTTGCTTATTTGTTAAATAATTAATGTCATGTTAATCGGATCATCATTTAATTAGATGTGATCGGGTCTGTTGCCTAACATTTCAGTGATGTGAAACATACGAATCGATATAAAATGAAATGAAAATGTGCAATTATTTCAAGTTGTTATTCATCGTAGACTGACATCAGTTGGAGGAACAAAGGGAACCTGGGAGCACTGGACAGCTGTTTCGTCCGACTAGTACGGGATTCCTCAACAGTGCGCACCCACGACCCCACCAGCAGGGATCGAAACCTGCGACCTTCGGGTTCCGCGACCAGCACGTTACCATTGAGCCACTGGGTCAGAATCCAATGCTCCATATTTCCAACTTCTGTTAGCTCACTGCTCACTGGTGCTCATTGGTGACTAGCTTCGAGAAGTATTCCCGAAGTTCCAATGAGAAGTCGTGACCGGTGGGGGCAAAGCCTGATGGTCATGAGGACAGATACTCAGCGTTGACATTGGGTGGCGGTTGCGCTATATATCGTGAGCTAAGAGAAGTTAGAAATATGGAGCATTGGATTCTGACCCAGTGACTCAATGGTACCGTGCTGGCAGCGGAACCCGAAGGTCGCGGGTTCGATCCCTGGTGGTGGGGTCGTGGGTGCGCACTGCTGAGGAGTCCCGTACTAGTCGGACGAAACGGCTGTCCAATGCTCCCAGGTTTCTTTTGTTCCTCCAACTGATATCAGTGTACGATGAATAACAACTTGAAATAATTCCAAATCTCCTCAACTCCCTCAGAAAATGTGTAACTCTGGTTCGCTCATTTGCTTGGTACTAATTTCTGGTCAAAATATCAACATTTTATCAAATTTCACAAAAATTCGTATCAACTCATAAAATGTTTTCACTCGTAATCTAGCAATAACAAATGCTATCCCTCTATGTAAAGTACATCAACTAAACAGATTGAAGCAACTTTACTCATCAATCGATATAAAATGACCTTGAAGTATTGGAGACAAGCCAATAGCATATTTGCACAGTCTACTGACGAAGCTGAAGGTGAAATATCAGCCAATCAACTTTTGATATACTTCTACACTCTCGCCAACCGACCAATCAAATTTGTCTTAGGAAAAAGTGGCAATATCACTGCGTAATTAATTACTTCATGTCTTGCAAAGTTCTGATGTACTGGTAATGATGTCTAGGATAACATTGAAACGTTTGCCAACTAGAACTTCAACTCAAAGGACAACACTATGATCAAACGAGTTAGATGTCCCAAAATTAAAGCTGAAGTACATATTCAAGCAAATGAAACTTAAACACAATTTACCTATGTCTTAGAATTTAACTTACCAAAGAGGAATCTGGTCATATCTTCTTCCATTCTGCCGTTTTTTTTCCTTCCTAATTTTAGGGTGATAGATTCGGAGGTGCTTTGGACACTGCAGCACGTCAATTTTCACGGGCGTATGATTCAGGTTTATCACCTATGCAATTTGTTAATCAAGAACGTCAGGCTTCACGCCTTATCATGGGCATTGGACATCGGATAAAGTCAGTTACTAATCCTGATAAACGTGTTCAATTACTATCACGTTATGTACATGAGCATTTCCCGGCGACACCGGTAGTTGATTATGCATTTGAAGTGGAGAAGATTACTACCTCTAAGGTATTCGACTGTTGTTGTTGTTATTATTATTGTTTTTATCGTCTTTTTCGTTTGTAAGTTGTCACTTAGAATTCTGCTCAAATTAAATTCCAGTAAGTGTTTTCAAAAGACTGCAATTCTTTACCACTTAGCTGATAGCTGCTACCTTGATGTGGTGATCGAGCTTGCATATTAAAACCATCTAACTAACTATACAGGTTGAAATGTTCGTTCATTGAGGTCCTACTATCTCAGAGAGGTGTGTCGGATAGTGGGTAGACAAAAAGCAGTTATCGTTATAGTGCAAATTGCTGCTCTATGGTGTAGGTCTGAGGGGGAATTCGTACTACTGGTTGGACTGGGGTATGATGTCAGTAAAGTATTTCTTTTGGATGACTAGGAATGACATGCTGGTACTACCTTTCCCATGGGAAGCGAGGGTTAAGAAAGAATGGCATCGGAAATGTCACACTCATCTCTGCCCTGCTGTCCTCCGATACTGGCGTTACAACAACCATACCTCAAAGCATCAATTTTCAAAAAAAACTATGTGTGACAAGCCTCAAGCAGATGTCCTATATGCTCTGCGGTCACATAAATCTTCTTTGTACTTTGTAGAAATAGTGTGCACGGTTTGGGCTGCCGGGAAGTGTCAACGACCTGTGCGATTCCAGTAGGATACAAGATCCAGTCAAAAGGAGCATATCCTACTTTGCCTTCACCTCCTGATACCAGTATTAAGCGTCTTATAGCTTCCTCATCCTCTCATTCTGCGAACATTTCCCTAGGGTCCAAGCCATCGAAACCTTATCCGTAGTCTCCTGAAATCCTGTTGTCGGCTACATAAATGTAGTCTCAACAAACCAGTCTACTTCACGGATAATCCCAGTCAACGAGAAGGGAGAGAGATCTTTTTGTGGCAGCCACTGGGGAATGAGTTCTAGTAGTATTATATCCATGATTGTAGGATCCGTAGTTATTCGATGCATAACTGAAGCTCGGGGAAAGCAGGCGGGTTTCAGATCTGGGGGAGGGTGCACTGACCAGATTTTCATCCTCCCACAAGTTCTAGAACAGAGACATACCTACCAACGGACACTTCCCATATTTGTTGACCTGAAGGTGGTGGCACTTGACTATGTCAACCATCAGGTGTTGTGGCAGTATCTGAATGTAAAGAGACTATCGAGAAGTTATGCAGTACTTATCAAAGCTCTCTACTGGGACTCATAAATCCGTGTAAGGGCTTAGGAAGAGTTGCCATGTGAATCGATGACAACTATTGGTGCTCGCTAGGGATGTCCACTTTCACTACTCCTACTTAACTTCGTTGTAGGCATAATAATCTTAGGTATGTCTGCCTTTGATGGATTGATTTACTGCCTGGAAATCGTCTGGTTGACTTGGATATTGTCCTGCAATGTGAAGATGCTGACAAAATACCGGCTCTTCTAAACTGAACGCTTTGAATAGAAATCTGAACATGCTTCGCATACATTTCGCTTGCCCCTGTGAAATGTGATATGATACTTCAGGACTGACTGGTGTGCAACTACTCCCGGTTTAATGATAGCGAGTGAAATGATAGAATACGTTGACCGCTTCATTTATGGAGTTGCATCAACCCGAACTGGTTGGTTGCCGACAGAATCTGAGTTCGGATGCGGAAGATCGGTTCGGCATTTGCCAACTTAAGTCTTACATAGCCTTGACTGTCTATCAAAGGACGAATGTACTGTGCTACAGTTCGTTCTGTCCTGTTATACGGCTGTGTGATATGGCCGTTGATAATAGAAGACATGCATCGATTCCAGGTTTTTGATCATAGCTGTTTTTGTAGGATTTCTCGAGTTTGATGAAATGGTTGTGTGAATAGTGTTGCGGTCAGGCTCATGCTGAGCCACCGCCTACCTCTAGGTGCCATACTAGGAGATGTTGGATTAGGTTAGAAGAGAGTTGAGGATGAACAGCTCAGGATGAAGTTTCTGACTCTTACGTGCGAGATGATATATTCTACCTGGTTGAAGTCCTCGAAATGTTGATAATTAAGTCGTTATTTATCGTAAATTGACATCAGTTCGAGGAACAAAGGAAACCTGGGAGCATTGGACAGCTGTTTCATCCTAGTATGGGAGTCTTCAGCAGTGCTCACCCGCCAGCGATCGAACCCGTGACCTTCAGGTTCCGTAACCAGCACGTCAGTATTCACTTGTTGAAGATTCTTTCATATCAGTCTTTGTATACTACTATGAAATATGGAAACTTTGGCGGATACACTTGAAGTTCGACGTTGATTTTTTTCCCGTCTATTTAGTTGATTGTCAATTCAAAAGTAATAGGAAGCTTCTTGTCCCTGGAGAACTGTTTTGTTTACTTATCTGGTTCATCAATAGACAGTGAAATGATTTAATCCACTGACTATTTCACTTACGATGTCGGTTCAGTGTTATTGGATTAATGATGGAAAAAATTTGTGGCTTTTATACCTATACGTTATGTATACGACTAGGAGGATATCTGATTTCTTATTGAGAGTCTACTGTATTGTTCTGCAGTTCTATCTCTTCTATTTTATGGTTATGGAGCATACCTAACGAAGGTATAGGATACAAGAAGTGATGGAGAATATTTGTAGTTCAGGAGGGATCATCTTATAATCTTATAAGTGTCAAACGCTTCTTATTGTTCGGAAATAGAAAAACTTTACCAAGAGGCAGGCTTAAACAGGACAAAAATGATATAAAAAGTTTTTAGGTATCCAACAAGCGTTGCCTTTATGTAATGTATACCGTATGTCATAGTGTCACCATGTGAATGGTATAAAAGTGAGAAGTAGATCTTTGAATGAACGAAGCACATCAGTTAATAAGGTTGTAAACTTTTATTGATTCAGGTGACTGGAAAATACATTACGCACACTTAGTCATTGTGTATCCTGTCGCCTAATGTAAACGTTCATATTGGAATAAGGTTGAAGGTGACCAGATTAAAATATAACTATTGATGTGAACTGTGTCAGGAAATGTAGACTTTCCAGTCATAGTCGATGTGACAACAGAAACCAGTTTCAGTATTGTCTCATTTTCCGTCCTCTTTTTACAACTTTTTCTTCATTTCCCTGTCTTGTGTGTTTTTACCGTCTACCATGATGTGCTCTGATTCGAAGTGCGACATCTTCGAAAGTTATATAGGTTGGATATTGGTATTTACTGTCTCTGACTGACTCGAAGTAATACTAGTCGATCAGTAGTTAGACGAGTTGTAATAGTATTGGTCATTTTGGTTGGGTGTATGTTTGGATACAATGTAGTGTCGTGTAGTCGTCAAGCGATTAGCACTCACTGAAACAAAACAATCGACTGACTAGAATGGATTCGACCTACGACTATCTCCGAGACTGAAATTAAAGTATGATAGTTAAGAAAACTGATTTATTCATCGTATCATCTTATCCCTGGCGGGCTCATGAGTGCGCACTGCTGAAGAATCCTGTGCAACGACGAAACAGCTATCCAGTGTCCTCCCAACTGACGTTATTTCATGATGAATATCAACTTGAAAAATTACTAAATTCCCACAAACCCCCAAAATCCAATTAATGTTCCAATAGGAAGTCGTAACCGGTGGGGGCAAAGCCTGATGGTCATGAGAACAGTTACTCAATGGTGACATTGGGTGACGGTTGCGCTATATATCGTGAGCTAAGAGAAGTTGGAAATATGAAGCACTGGATTCTGACCTAGTGGCTAGCTCAATGGTAATTCGCTGGTCGCGGAACCTGGAGGTCGCGGGTTCGATCCCTGGTGGTGCGGGTTCGTGGGTGTGCACTGCTGAGAAGTCTCACACTGGTGCTCATTGGTGACTAGCTTCGAGAGGTATTCCCGAAGTTCCAATGAGAGGTCGTGACCGGTGGGGGCAAAGCCTGATGGTCATGGAGACAGTTACTCAGCGATGACATTTGGTGGCGGTTGCGCTATATATCGTGAGCTAAGAGAAGTTGGAAATATGAAGCACTGGATTCTGACCTAGTGGCTAGCTCAATGGTAATTCGCTGGTCGCGGAACCTGGAGGTCGCGGGTTCGATCCCTGGTGGTGCGGGTTCGTGGGTGTGCACTGCTGAGAAGTCTCACACTGGTGCTCATTGGTGACTAGCTTCGAGAGGTATTCCCGAAGTTCCAATGAGAGGTCGTGACCGGTGGGGGCAAAGCCTGATGGCCATGAAGACAGTTACTCAGCGATGACATTTGGTGGCGGTTGCGCTATATCGTGAGCTAACAGAAGTTGGAAATATGAAGCACTGGGTTCTGACCCAGTGGCTAGCTCAATGGTAATGTGCTGGCCACGGAACCTGAAGGTCGTGGGTTCGATCGCTGGCGGGGTGGGGTCCCATACTAGTCAGACAAAACAGCTGTCCAGTGTTCCCAGGTTTCCTTTGTTCCTCCACCAACTGATGCCAGTCTACGATGAATAACAACGTGAAATAATGTTATAAACCTGTTTTTTTTGGCATTCAATAGATGAAATTCAAAATATAAATATGGTTAATTGTCATATAACTTAAAATATACCATTGATTAAAAATTAGACCAAACGTCATCAACCCAGTTAATGACTTTTCATCTATATGTAAAGTTGTCTGTTATATTAACTATAGAACAGGTACACTTGTAAACATAGGTTACATTGAGTGTTTCGGTTCGACATGTTCATCTTTCATTTTTCGGTATCTTCTCCAGTCTACCTGAACTCCAATCGTGTCTAAACATTGTGATGCCTACACACCATTTATTTTGTTTGTCATATATGTCTCTTCTTTTGATAGTCTATACAGTAACTGGTATTGCTTTGAAACTTCCAACTATGGTATACTACCTCTTTGCTAAGCAAAATAAATGACTCCTTAGTATTTTATTTTTGTAATCAGCTACCGTGTATAAGTGAATCTAAGTTATTTCTTAAGATTATTGGGTGATAATTGAAGATGAAATGAAAATTTGAACCGTGGAGGGATTCGAACCAGCGACCATTGGATTTTTGATTCGATGTTCTACTAACTGAGCTCCGACTCGATTTTTATGCTCTTCTTCCGTCATATTAAATGCTTCTTATCTGAATTGTGGTTGTTTAATCGTCATAACAATCTTCTATCATTACTTAAATCTGATGAGACAGAATCCAATGTTTTCGCTTCGATAGTGATGATCATGGATTAATTGTGGTTGTTTTTATCTTTCTTTGTGGCGTCTTGTTACTGCTGACGTGAATTTATCACTTACTGTTTTCAATATAAGAAGGAATTAAGCACTAGGCCCTTGAATTAACAGCAGCCACTTCCTGTCAACCAGGTTTAGTTTGGCGTCGATGATTGGTCTAAAAAATTACATTATTGATATCGTCATCATCATCATCATCGATATCATTATAGAACCAGGGATTACTGCGTAATGGTCCGAGTTGCCTCACCTCATATCAGTACATCAAGTAAAAAGGCAATGAGGTGAAAGATGAAGAAAAGAAAATTCTGTCAAAAGAGATATCAAGTACGAGAAGAAAGAAAGGAAGAATGAGAAAATGGTGAGATTCGATATAGCGTGGTTGAAATGGGGATAATGTGTCCGGGGACACATCTCCACCACTGACAACGGTTCTGAGTGATGTGATCACCTAGAGTCTGCAACGACTGGTTCCTCTTGTCCCTGGACTGCCGGAAAGCTAGTCTGCATCGGTCTACATAGCTCAAACCAACAGTCGGAGACTTTATACATTGATGCGATGTTGTTTTAGTCTGGTCACCTCGGGCCTCTTTCCAGCCTGGACCTACTTCGGTCAACATTGTGTGACAAGTCAATCGGTGACTAGGCATACGTAGTACGTGTCCCAACCAATATTATTAATAAAGGAGCTTGTTTGCAGATGCTTCAATTATTGCCGATGATTTCAGCTTATTGACAAGCCCATGGACTGGTGTCTAACAGTAGTTGGTATCCTGGAGTAAAAGCATTCTTGAAAGATGCACACTAAATTTATGCACTTTCTCTCATATCATACTAGTTTATAAGCTGCACGTTACTTCGACTCTGGTCATTTTGATTTCATTGTTGACTTCGTCTTTTTGTTTCCATTTTATTCAGCGTCCAAATTTAATTCTCAATGTCGATGGAATGATTGGTGTGGCGATGGTAGATTTGTTAAGAAACTGTGGTCATTTCACAAGGTTAGCTTACTAGTTTATTTGTTTTTTTCTTATTACTGGACGGAACAGTGAGTTGCAGAGTGAGTGAGTGAGTAAGTCTGATAGCGAGTGAGCGAGTAAGTCATTGTGTGAGTGAGTAAGTCTGTTAGTGAGTTGTCGAGTGAGTGAGTCAGTAAGTTGCAGACTGAATGAGTAAGTCAGTGTGTGAGTTGCCGATTGAGTGAGTCAGTAAGTTGTAGAGTGAATGAGTAAGTCAGTGTGAGTGAGTCAGTAAGTTGCGGAGTGAGTGAGTGAGTAAGTGATTGTGTAAGTCTGTTAATGAGTTGCCGAGTGAGTGAGTGAGTCAGTAAGTTGCAGAGTGAGTGAATGAGGTAGTAAGTCATTGAGTGAGTAAGCGAGTGAGTTGTCGAGTGAGTGAGGCTTGGTATATCAATTCTTATGGAGACGTTTAGGCGTTATCTACACACCCCTCCCCGTTGTGATTAAACCCCAATTTTGTCATGGGTTAAGTTGTTTAATGCAAATTTCTATCAGTCAGTGTAGAATGTTGTTAGTCTCTCTTTTGTGTGATATCACTGTCAACCACTATCTGTAGCTAAGTGTATTTATGATCGTTTTTAACTGGTTTACTTATATCACATTAATTTCTGATTCATTCAACGCTGACGTAAGACTTCCAACTAACTAGTCTTTTATGCTGAATGTACTTGCTACTACAGTCTACGAGTGTGCGCAGCTTTTATTCATCCAGTTCTTCTGTTTATGTATACATGTTCTCGAATGTGTAACTTCTGAATCTATCCAACCAACCAGTTTATATGTGTCACAATACTTCTAACTGTGTACCATCTTTCAGATCAACACTTGAGTGGCTAGATGCATATTGACCTGTATTCAGTGAGAACGTTGCACACCTGATTTCGTATATTACAGTTTCATCAGCCTAACATTCAAACGAGTTGAAGTTTTAAGCATTGCAGCTTGTTACATCACATTTATGACTAGTGAAATCCACTATGGTCTTCGCTAAGCATTACACTGCACGTTTGTTACAGATTGATGACCTTAAAGGCAATTACGATCCATAGATGTCCAGTACATTGGAAATTTGCATTTAGGTATTGTAAATAAAAAGATGGAGTAAGTGGATAGGTATTTCGTCCCCATGAGTTCCTCATCAGCAGCTCTATACTGGCCTTTAGGTTCTACGATTAACGATAAAATGCTATTTTAATACCGATGAGTTAAGATGCAAGTTATTAGGAATCGCAAGTTACTCATATCATCCATCAACAGACATTACTGCGTAATGGTCCGAGTTGCCACACCTCATATCAGTACACCAAGTAAAAAGGCAATGAAGTGAAAGATGAAGAGAAGAAAATTCTGTCAAAAGTACAAGAAGAAAGAAAGGAAGAATGATAAAATGGTGAGACTCGATATAGCGTTGTTAAGATGAGGATAATGTGTGTGGGGATACATCTGCTCCACTGACGTCGGTTCTGAGCCATATCACCTAGAGTCAGTCTCCAACCACTGGTTCCTCTTGTCCCGTGGACACCAACCACCTAGTCTGCATCGGTCTACATAGCTCAAACCAACAATCAGAGACTTTATACATTGATGCGATGTTTTAGTCTGGTCACCTACAGCCTTTTTTTCAGCAAGTTACTCATATAGGGAATAAAGTTCAACGCATAGTTATTAAGTGATTGGAGGTGCAGTACGATCCAAACAAGCGGTTTCCAAGTTATCAGCTCGGTACGTGATCAACTGAGTTAGCCTGCCTAACTACTGACCCTGACCAAGATTTTACTCGGTTGTTATGTGAATCTATGATACTCAACTTTCTGCTCATTATCACTTAATCATGTTGCCAGTGCCCAACCAGGTCTTCTTGTCCAAACTAAAATCAAGTTATGAATTGGTCGACCACCGCAGTGTTGACTCGAAGACCCACTATGATTTTTCCCTCTAGTTTTCATTTCACGGTTGATCATCACATCTCAATCTGTTAAACCACCTCACTTTCTTTCCATAATAATTGGTAAAACAGATAAGTTGAGGTTATGTAAGCAAATAAGCTCTTGTCAACACGAAATGATTACTCAACAACAGGAATGTAGAAATTATGAGACTGTACAATAATGGATACAAAAGGCTCGATTGGCTTTTGCCAATTTGCACCACCTATGGCGCCGCCATGATATTCGTTTATCTATTAAGGATCGCGTGTACTGCACAGCAGTCCGCTCTGTTCTACTGTATGGCTGTGAAACATGGCCATTGATAGTGGAGGATACAAAAAGGCTTCAGGTGTTTGACCACCGTTGCCTTCGTAGTATAGGACGTATTCCGTGGTGTCACCACGTGAGTAATGCAGAAGTCAGGTGTAGAGTTTTAGGGAGAAGAGGTAAGTCAGTTGACGAGGTTGTGAACCTTCATCGACTGAGATGGTTGGGACACGTACTACGTATGCCTAGTCACCGATTGCCTCGTCACACAATGTTGGCTGAAGTGGGTCCAGGCTGGAAAAAGGCCCGAGGTGGCTAGACTAAAACATGGCACCAATGTATGAAGTCTCTGACTGTTGGTTTAAGCCATGTAGGACGATGCAGACTAGGTGGTTGGGGTCCACGGGACAAGAGGAACCAGTGGTTGGAGACCCTAGGTGATATGGCTCAGAACCGAAGTCAGTGGCGCAGATGTATACACACATTATCCTCATCTTAACAACGCTATACCGAATCTCACTATTTTGTCACTCCTCTTTCCTTTCTTCTCATACTTTATATTTCTTTTGACTGCATTCACTTATCTTCATCCTTCACCTCACTACCTTTTTACTTGATGTGCTGATATGAGGTGTGGCAACTCGGACCGTTACGCAGTAATGTCTGGTCCTATGTTGATAATGATGATGATGACAATAATGAAAAAAGGTCAATACACTAATATTGAACACTCTGAATTGAACTTTTATAGTTATATAGACCAACTTTTTATGAGTAGTTTTCTATCTTCGACTTGTTGTCTGTTATAAGTATTTATCTTAATAAATAAACATATATATCTCTCATTTACCTTCTTTATATATACCGTGTTAAAACAAAATGAAATCAGTGAAGAATCTGAAGAATACATAAACATTGGCACATTGAATGGTTTGTTTGTTTTAGGTCGATCAATTGGATTTATTGGTATGTATTTGTGTGTGTGTGTGTGTGTGTTGTAATTTCTTTTATTGGTAATTTTGTACATTTGACTATTGATTACACGTTGAATTAGTTGACTCTGTTTCAAGTTATGTATATATCTGTTCATGCATACATATAAAGGGAGGGAGGTGGTAACAACGACCTGGTACTGTTTGTTACTTATCATTCATTGTTAAAGTGTAGTTATGATTTCCTGTTGATATACAGGGTCGAATTACTCAACCTCTGTTGTCGGTCGAAGGATCATACATCCTATGTAGTTGCTGGTGGTTTTCTCTTCCTATTTTCCCTTCGTGATTCTCATCAATGAACTCACACGCACCTCTGCAACAACCCATTATCTGTCTACAAGCTAGATGGAACCTTATCAACACCTGGTTATTATAATAGGGGGAAGTGGGGTTGGGGGAGGGGGGGAGTGAAGAGAAGAGGAGAAAAAGTTGGTTGTTGTGTAGGATGGATGCGATAGACCCGACTCAGTAATGAATGTGAGTTCAAGTGCATAGGTGAAAGTAGTCGATCGGGATCGGTTACATTAGTAGAATACCAGAAATGAGGTAAATATAGAATGACAATAATGTAGAAAAACACCCAGCTATTGGGATGCATAAGGAAAAAGATCCTAGACGATTTGGATTTCGCTAATGACTTGTGTCTAATGTCACACAAACTTGAAGATCTACAGGCAAAAACTAACAAGGTGAAGAGGCAGGGCAGGGCAGGGCAGCGAAGATGGGACTTCAAGTGAACGTAGACAAGACAGAGGTGATGAAGATATTCAACCAACACCACCAACAACAACAACAAGCCCCAATCACCATCAACGGGAGAAACTTAAAGGAAGTAGCCTCTTTCACCTACACCTACGTAGGCAGCATCGTTTCAACTACATATGGCACAGGCACAGACGAGGACGTCAATACCAGGCATGATCGGAAAGACAGCAAGACAGACGTTGATTACCCTGAAACCAGTATGGAGATCTTCTGCACTGCACTCATCATAAAGCATGAACAACATCCGGATTTTCAACACTCTTAGTGTCAGTCAAGTTAGTGCTTGTATGTGATGGTTGAGAGACTTGGCGCGTTATGAAAGGCATCATTCCTATCTCACTTGTAACGACTAAACAAAGATTCATTAATCAATCTACATATATCCACCTAATTACATTGTTGGACTTCAAAACAGTGGTTTTATCCGACCCTATTGTATGCGGTTGTGTGTGTCAATGCATGCATCCTGATTATTATTACCATATATTATTTGTCCCGTGGCTTCCTAGTAAAATATAGGGCTTCACTAGCACGTCTTCAGTGCACTCTCCTCTCTGCAAACTTTTGAACCTGGCTCCGCGACAGCCCACAAGCTCTCATTTCTTCCTTACACCATCTGCTCCATATCACCTTCGCTTCAAACGACCAACTCGCCGTTTACCATCTGGGTTCCACTCGAGTGCCTGGTCTGGCTTGTGATGTCCTCGAATGGTTTTCTCTGTGCATGACCAATCCATCTCCACTTCCTTCTGCATATTTGTTGAGCGATAGCTTCTTGCTTCGTTGGTTCGTTGACAGCCAGCCAGAGTTCCTTTTTGCTTATTCTTTCTGGCAATTCATCTGATCTTCAGTAACGAGCCAGCGTATGTGGCAGTTGTTGATGAATGTCTGTAGTTTGTTGGAAATCGCCTTCGTGACGCTCCAAGTCTCTCAACCATCACATACAAGCACTAACTTGACTGACACTAAGAGTGTTGAAAATCCGGATGTTGTTCATGCTTTATGATGAGTGCAGTGCAGAAGATCTCCACACTGGTTTCAGGGTAATCAACGTCTGTCTTGCTGTCTTTCCGATCATGCCTGGTATTGACGTCCTCGTCTGTGCCTGTGCCACATGTAGTTGAAACGATGCTGCCTACGTAGGTGTAGGTGAAAGAGGCTACTTCCTTTAAGTTTCTCCCGTTGATGGTGATTGGGGCTTGTTGTTGTTGTTGGTGGTGGTGTTGGTTGAATATCTTCATCACCTCTGTCTTGTCTACGTTCACTTGAAGTCCTATCTTCGCTGCCCTGCCCTGCCCCGCCTCTTCAACTTGTTAGTTTTTGCCTGTAGATCTTCAAGTCTGTGTGACATTAGACTCAAGATTAACTGCACATATATTCCTCAGAATTCGCTAACGAAATTGGTGATGAATCTGTTGCTTCAGGATCTCATAACCCTTACCCTTACATTTAATGAGTGTACACGTTCAGCTAAATATAGAATGACAGACTCGAATATTATCGGTAGCCTAGAAAGGAACTGGCCTGTTGCAGTGTATGTATTAACACAACCACACAATGAGGTAGAGAGAGATTGACTACTGAATCTATATTTATTGAATCAGCCAACACCCAACATACTATTGATAGGAATGACGGTGCGCCCATGTGTGCCAGAGATGTTGGGAAATGTCACTACAACTAGGAACAAAGAGCATGAGGTAACATTTACATAATTATGTCACTCAATATGTACTAGCTATCTCAGTCACCATCACCCCATTTCTAGTATGCACTAGAAGGTGATGTTTTTGAGCATTGAAACCATCTCCTAATAAATATGAAGGCTGGATTGAACGATAAGAAATCAGGGTTATTTTGTCCTACGATGGTAGTAGCTTTTTCCACGTAATTTATTTCGCGTTTGAAAACTAACTACTGATAAGTATTTGAGTAGGCTGTGACCCTTGTGAAAATTTAAGCATAAAAACAATTGCATTCAATGTAAAATTATACTTCTGATATTTTCAGTTTTAAATTATCACACAGTTGCCTACATCTACGTACTGATTCATAAATTCTTTGCTATTCTTGGTATATTTAGTGTCAGAAGGTATTTTAAACTATTCTAGTTAGATTTCGTACTTTTCAACAGTCGTCAATAGGACATGTCTGTAGCCTCTCTAGGTCTGATGTTCCCTATGAGTTTTGATCCTGCATCACTCAGTAACATCAACATGAGGTCATGTTTAACCTCCTATAAGACTGGACACTGTAGGCTATCCAATTTCATCTTGTCTAGTACTCAGTTGTGATCGAATTCCATTGACCAAACTGACAGGCTTAAGGTCGCGGTGGACATTGACGTAAGCAATCGACTGATGACGATTGCCTTCAACTAACCAACATTCATCAAAGTGTTCGGCGATGGTTAACTTGTTAGCTTAGTGGTCACACTTCAAAATGATCTACAGAATTCGATCAGAAATAGGACTCGAAATCGGGACGAATACAAGCAAGAACATGAAGTGAAAAATTATAACAAACGGAGGAATTTATAGAAAGCAGGATCTAACGAATTCAGAAATTTTACTAGAATCCCTCTGCTCATTCCTATAGATATGGCGGTGTAATACAGAGTAAGATACACATTTATAACTACACAGTTAAAACTATGATGATAAATGAGACTTGACAACATAAAAGGGTTTTTCCGTACGTTGACGAGTCGATCACCCCCTCGCTTCTTCCATCTATTCCAAGGATTAGGAAACAATGAACGGTGTCGAAGCTCTTTTGAGGGGGGAGACTTGCGTGTCTAAGCCACTGAAACCAGAATTTTCAGATGACTTAACTTGTGGAGATCGTCATTCAATAAATGAAGTCACCTGGAAACACGTGTTACGCATTTCGTTTCAACAGCTTCCATACCGTTCATTGTTTGCTAGGCTTGGAAGTGGATGGAATAAGCAGAGGAGTGGTCAGTGTATGACGTAGCGGTATGGGATGAAAGATGGTTGTATCGGGTTAACATCTCTTGGTGCATCATGACTTCCTGCGACCTCCTATCTTCTACTGCTGAAAAGTGATGAATGTTTCGTACCGAAAGTACCTTACCGGACTGTCATTCTATTGTTATTTTTTTGTGGTACCATTACCTATTGGCTTTGCTGTACCATGTTTGTGTTCTAATAATAATAATGAATAAAGTAGACGTGTAGAAAGATACAGACGAGATAGTTAACTGTTGGATAAGAGATTCCTGAATAATATGTGTTGGTGTTTAAAGTAATCGGTACAAGATTTGAATCTCTCACCGAGAATGCCATCAATCTAGTTGATGAGTGCCTAACAGATCGTAATGTATATCCTGGATTCTATTGTTACCTACTACTACTGCTATATAAAAGTGTTAACCAAGCCAAATTAAGATTATCATCAGTACTGTTTCTTTCTTCACATAGACAGTTACTTTTGTTAAGGGTGAATTGAACAGGTTTATAGGGATTAAAAACATATTTGATCATTCTTGCTGATGTTCATTCACTGTTTGAACAATATGTTTCAATGAAAATCAATAACTAATGGAACAATTCATCAAGCTCTTACTCATTATTCTTATACCTTATCATTTCAGTGTATATCAGTTTTTAACTATCTATCTTTTTTCCTTTTTCCTCTCTACTTACTTTCTTCAGGTCATTATTTAGATCAAAAACGTCTTCATCAAGGTTTATATCGTCATCCATGGGAGGATATATCTTATTTATTACCAGAAAATCTTTAATTATTCATTGAAAATCTCTTCTCTTTCTTTTTTGTTTCTCTCTTTTGCCTAATCTGTCTCCTTTTTCTTTCTAACAAGACGAAGAAGTCGAGATTAGTTGAGGATGATGGAATGAGAGGAAGGTGAAAGAGATAGAGAGAGTGATCAAATTGTTATCAATTCGAATTGAATATGATAACTATTATTTATCAATTAGCCAGTTTATGATTTGAGCGCCATGAAATAGAGATTATAAGCTTCCATTAATATACATTTCTTCTACATATCTATCATGAATACCATTTATACTTCTAGTGTTGGATCCTTTCTTGATGTTTATTCAATTATTCAGATGTATTTAGAAGTTGTATTCATACACATTAAGAAATCACCTGATCTATTCTATTCTACTCTACTTACTGAAATACTTCAAATGGTTGTGCTGTCTCTCTCTACCAATGGTTGTGAACACTACACACTACTACTACTACTACTACTACTACTACTACTACTACTACTACTACTGAAATAATTCCTGCTACTGGCAGTATTGACGCAGATATGAGTAGTGTTTTATATGATGTGTGTGTGTGTGTGTGTATCTGGAAGTCAGTTACGCTGATTACTTTCAGAAACTGTTAGTATTAACCACAAAAGAAGGGCTATAATGATAAGAAAAGTGATGGTAATAGTAGGCATAGTAGTAATATAATAACGGTGGTAGTACGTATGTTTTTACATTGTTTATTCAACTCCTTCCTCCTCCTTCTTCTACCCCCTTTGAGCTATTTGACAACCGCCTTTTTATACGGGAGATTATTTATTTAATTGACAATCTTTATTACGGAAATGCTATTTTTAAAACAAATTTTACATATATCTCTTTCTCTGTTTTGGTGCTAACAAGTAGAGAGTGTAGTATGTGTGTGTGTGCCATCTCTGCATCACTTATTGTTCTACATCCTTCATCTTGTCTGTCTTCTAGCTGTGTACCTCCTTCACTGAAACATACGCACGTACACACAAGCACAAAGTCTTCGTTTATTTACTAGTGGAGATTATGTTTCGTTGGATCTCTCTCTGTGTGTGTGTGTGTGTCTCTCTAAATATCAAAGTATTAAACATATTCAATGAGAAACTATTTACCTCAAGATTTTGTGTTTTTCATTTCCTGTTTTCGCATGATGATGATGATGATGATGATGTTGTTGTTGTTTAGCTTTACTGCCACTGTTGCTATCATCAGTTAAACGAATTCAAGATTCACCTATTAATTGTCACTGGTGAATACGTCCAATATTTCTGCAGTATATCTGACTGTGAAAGGAGTACCAAGCAAGTATATAATGCCTTAGTTATATTCTGTTCTTTGAGATGCTTTCATCGTCTTTCTAGACAGTAACATCGTCAGTACTAACTTCAGTACAATATCTCTCTTTGAGTGATTTAGTAGCTTGCCCTGACCAACTGGTTTGTGTGTGATTGGTTGTTTCGTTTGATTGTTGTGTCATTGACTCCTCTGCTTCACCTCTGACCATTTTGTCGTTTATCATTTTTCGCGTTGATTGATTGGTAGGGTCTATGTCTATACATCTCTCCATTGATTGCTGACTGACTGACGTGAATGTCAAACTTCTAGGGATTCTCTGATGATATTCTTTGTATTTCCTCTCTCTCTCCCTCCAAGATTTCTACTGTATCGAAATTCAATTGATGTCCACAGTTGTTATCAATGTGCATTTAGTGATGAGTGATGAAATGTCGTGTATCACCTTTAATAGCCAATTGCTGTTCATGTAGACGAAGGTGAAGGTGGGTGACCACTTTGTCCAGTTATTGCAGTTGATTTTGTAAATGATGTTCGATTTCTTTTTTCTGGTTGTTACATCCTTTGGTCTGCATAATAAAAACGCACAGTTGTGTACAGACTCTATTCGAAAAAGCGAGAACACATTACAGTACAACAATGTCACGGAGAAACGAAGAAAATTACTCGATGTCTATCTTAAAGAAGAAAGACTAACCGCGAAACTTCATCAGAAGGTGTCTATTCCATGCCCTATCAGCTCAAAGTCATCGATAGAAATCAATATACGCATCATCCTATCATACATAAAGAATATATCAGAAATCAGGACAAGATTACTGAGACCACTGAGTGGAATTGGTGTGGCCACTCTTGAACTGGACATGAATTGAATTTCGACAATGTAAACATTTTTGGACGGAGAGAGGAAACACAAAGTATATCATCAGAAAATTCCTAGAAGCTTGGCATTCAGGTCAGTCAGTCCAGAATCAACAGATGTATAAACATTGACCCAATCTATCAACCAATAAGAAAAGTGATAAACGACAGAATGGTTAGAGATGAAGCAGAGAAACAGGCAAGAGGGAAATCGATGCAGTCAATCAATGACACAACAATCAAAGGAAACAATCAATCATGCACAAACCAGTTGGTCAGGGCAAGCTACTGAATCACTCATGGAGAAATATTGACAGTCCACTTCATACTGAAGTTAGTGGTGAAAATGTCTTCTAGAAGAAAGATGATGAAAGCTTCTCCACTATTAAACAACTCAGCTCAGAGAACAGTATACAATCAAGACCATTCACCTGAGCTACAAATATATATTATGCTCATCAAAGCTGTCCACTCGAATTCACACAGCCATGTAAGAGCTTAAGGAGAGTTGTCATGTGAATTGAGGATAATTAGTGGTGTCCGCCAGAGATGTCCACTGTCACCATTCCTATTCAACTTCGTTATACACGTACTATAAGATATAACCTTAGGTACATGTGACTTCAAAAAGATTGACCTACCCCTTGGTCAGACGATATTATCCTGCTAGGTAAAGACTGTGACAAGATTCAGGCTCTTCTGAACTGAACGTGTTGAACAGAATGCTGTGTATGTTTTGCATACATTTCGCTTGCACCTGTGAAATCAGAGATGATGCTGCAATATTCACACTGACTTTTTTCTTCAAATAGCTTATTCTGTCACAAAACTTTATTCACACTGACATCACTGCTTGTGTTATTCTACGGTATATGTATGAGCAATGTAATACTTCAACATGATACGATTAACAACAGGACGATGACTTCTCAACTTGGAGTAGGAAGTTTTGAAATACTTTCAGCGACTTACCTTCTTTCCGTTGTCTGAGATGATATTATATGAGGGGCCGTGATAGCGGAAGTTATCGTAGAGGGCTTTTAACGTCCTCGCAGTATTCTGGCCATTTCGAGTGAATGTCTACCAAAATAAGCCATTGGTTCCCATCAGTGGGTCCGGTGAAGTCAACATGAATTATCGACTATAGATTTCCGGGATCTGGATAGGGAATCGGCAGTAGTCGTGGAGGATGCTTGGCGGTTCGTTGGTATTCTGGATATCAGTTGACATAGTCTGAAGTTTGCTGGTCCGTCCGCGGCGAATACACGTAGCTGTGAGCAGTTGACTTCGTGATTTCGATACCAAGATGGCTCGAATGAAATTGAGATAAGATTGGGTCACGAAGGGACGTAAAGTCTACGACTTGGTTTCCAAACATATGGCAGTCGTTGACGGTATACAGGGGTTTAGGTGGTGATGCATTTGTTTTAGATCACCTGTGGTTAATCCTTTCGACTATCTGCTGAGAGCGAACTGGACTGCACGTTGTTTTGTCCTTGCGTTTAGCCATCTAGACGTCCTGCGTCGTGACTGGAAGCGCCAAAATGGCTGCAACTAAGTGAAAGACTGCAGAATCTTCCACTGAAACTTCTGCAGTGGTTTTTATCTTCATTACCCTAGAATATTCGCTCGTAATATGGGACAAGACATCGACTTTGCGAAACTCTTGAGTGCGTCGATACTGAATGTCGAAATCATATCTAAGTAAGGTTAGGGCCCGCCGTTGAAGACAATTTACAGAATGGACTGGAATGCCAAAAACAGCCAGGAATGGTTTGTGATCTGTAAGTAGTGTAAATTTACTGCCTTAGACTAGTTTATGAAAATACGATGAGAGGCCAAAACAAAACCATGGCTTATTTCTCTGTGGTAGACAGCGTTTAAGATACATGCATGATGACCTCTTTTCCAACTGGAAAGACGTGAAGAATTACAGTCCCAACTGCATGAAGTGATCCATCTGCAGTCATAATGATTGACAATTTCGGATTATAGTGGGTCAGACCTCAGCTGATGGAAGGCTGTTGTACATTCTTTGGCCCACTGCCAACGAACGTCTTCACACGGAAGTTGATGTAACGGCGTCTTCATATTATGCATCGAAAATAGAATTGCTGTGTAATAAGTAATCAATTCCAGATATGATCGTGGGGAGGGGACATCAGTCGGTTCAGTCATTTCGTGTATGACATGAGACTTTTCGGGGTCTGGCTGTCAACTGTAAGCTTTGAAAATAAATCTCATATTTGATTGAATGTAAGTAAGACTGACATCTTTCAGGACGAAGCTTGAGACCGTTATCTTCTCTTCGTTTCAACACCTGATCCAGTTGGTTCTGCAGCTGTTCCTAGAAGGCATAGCAGTGATAACACCATCCAGATATGCAGTTACTCCGGGTATGTCCAATAATAAAGTGTCTATTATTTGTTGGGAAGTTGCTGAAGATGTCTTAATTCCAAATGGAGGGCGGTTGTACCGATATAATCCTTAATAATTCTTGGCATTCTGGTGCCATCTCGGTTTGTAGATATGCTTCAGCCAGGCCAATTTTAGGGAAGCATGTGAAAATACCCTCCGGTGCTGGAAGTGGTTAGTGGTGCTGTTCCAGCGCTGCATTAAGTCCCGTGGACAAAATCTGTACATATGTGAATCGAGCCATTTGGCATTCTGACGACTACAATAGGAGTAGCCCATACAGAGTAAGAAACTGGTGTGAGAACACCTTGTATTTCCAGAAAGGAGATTTCTACATCGATTTGTGGTAATAAAACACGTGTCTCTTGAGCTGGGAAATAGGTTTTGCGTCGTCCTGAAGGCGAGACCAGGCTTGAAT